GTCAGCTACAAACTAGGGATGCACCAATACTTCTCTTCAAGTACTCGCCGATACCAATTACTGATACCTTTTATAAGTGTCATGTGACAGTTTTCTAAAACAGCACAGACTAATGATTTAAGGAAAGTGATGGAGTGCCAGGGCCCAGTCACAGCTGCAACCACTGCACCCCTGGTAGTTCTGACTCCAAGCTGTAGAGGGGATATAAATCCCAGCAATACATTATACAGCAACACAGAATACCATCAGCTATAGAGGACTACAAATCCCAGCAATATATTATACATCAATGCAGAATACCATCAGCTATAGAGGACTACAAATCCCAGCAATACATTATACAGCAATGCAGAATACCATCAGCTATAGAGGACTACAAATCCCAGCAATACATTATACAGCAACACAGAATACCACCAGCTATAGAGGACTACAAATCCCAGCAATACATTATACAGCAATGCAGAATACCATCAGCTATAGAGGACTACAAATCCCAGCAATACATTATACAGCAACACAGAATACCACCAGCTATAGAGGACTACAAATCCCAGCAATACATTATACATCAATGCAGAATGCCACCAGCTATAGAGGACTACAAATACCAGCAATACATTATACAGCTACGCAGAATACCATCAGCTATAGAGGACTACAAATCCCAGCAATACATTATACAGCAGTGCAGAATACCACCAGCTATAGAGGACTACAAATCCCAGCAATACATTATACATCAATGCACAATACCACCAGCTATAGAGGACTACAAATCCCAGCAATACATTATACAGCAACACAGAATACCATCAGCTATAGAGGACTACAAATCCCAGTAATACATTATACAGAACTGCAGAATACCATTAGCTATAGAAGACTACATATACCAGCACCAACCTCATTTCCCCAACATTTTCAGGTCTGCTACAAACTCGGGAAGCATCAATACCATTGTATCCATTATACAATACCTTATACAGCAATGCAGAATGGCACCGGCTGTAGAAGACTACAAATCCCAGCAATGCAGAATACCACTAGCTATACAAGACTGCAAATTGCAGCAAAACATTACACAGCAATGCAGAATAACATGAAGCTACATACACTGTGGTGCTCCGGGGTGCCGGCCTGATGTCTCAAGTGGAAGATCTCAGGTGGGCTGTGAGGTGTCTTAGCAGAGCTGTGTGGGGTGTCAGGGGGGCTGTGCGGGATATAACAAGGGGTCCAGAGGGTCTCAGGGGCAGCAGGGTTCCCCAGGAAGGAGAAGTGCAGCCGGCGCACAGGAAGGCTGCCGAGGTCCCCAGCCAGCTCAGGACCTGCTTCAGTTAACAAATGTAAAGCTGGTATCGGTGTTCAGTATCTCGTGGAAACGACCAGTATCAGAACCGATACCGGTATCGGTACATCCCTACTACAAACTATCAGACTAAAATCTTGCATCTGTAGGTCTGGGCAGAGAGCTGACACCTTTCCTATAACCCCCACAGTAAAACACCCCTATTTTGCGGGGTGCAGAAAGCGGAGAGGACACATTACCCCTTCTGAGGAAGCCGTACATAAGACCAATATCATGTCTGATGTCTGACAAATCTTGATTTTGTTCTGAGCATAAAATGTTGGCTGTTGGACTGTAAATCCTGGGCATCCCGAAAACATTGAGGTAAGCGACATTAAGGCTGGGTTCACACTTGGGCGTTCGCAATATGCGCGTTTCGGGACGCGTTTTTTTACCATGATTTGCGGTCAACGAAAACGCGCGTTTACGAGGGCTATCCGGCTGTATCCTAATGGATACGCGCGGAAATACGCCCCCAAAAGACGCTCCTGTACTTCTTTGGGCGCAGGGCGTTTTTTCAGCGCGTTCCTACGCGCTGAAATACGCCCAGGGTGGGAACCATGCCCATAGGAAATGATGGGATTTTAACTTGCTGGGCGTTTTACAGCGCGTCGATCAGCGCTGTAAAACGCCCAGGTGTGAACCCGGCCTATAAGAGCGTCAGCTGAAGAATAAATCAAACACTTCACCCCTCAGCATTCTTGATTGGGTGAGGACTGGCTCAGTGACACCCTCTAGAGCAGGTGGTTGGCAAACTTCGGCCCTCCAGCTGTGATAAAACTACCAATCCCATTAAGACTCTGGCAGCCATAAGCATGACTTCCAGAGGCAGATGCATGCTGGGTTTTGTAGTTGCACCTCAGCCGCAGGGCTGGAGTTTGCATAGCCCCTGCTCTTGAGGGCCCACAAACAATTGGCAGCTCTTAATTTTCCATTGAAACTGTGCGGATCATTTCTTAGGGTTGATGACTCTGTCAGAATCAGATTTACGCTACAGTGAATTGGACCCTGCCGGAACCAACAAAACAGGCAAAACCTGTTTATTTAGAAGTATGGGGGAACGCACGTAAGACGCTGCAGCTGTCGCACATCGGTTCCAGGCCAGAAGCTGACTGATCACATCTGCTGATCAGTCAGCTCTCGGTCTCTGCTCCGAGCGGTGATTGTCAGTCACTGACCCCTGCGGGGATTCCCTGCTCCCTTCTCTGCTTCTCCAGCATTGGCTGGAGCTACAGAGAGGCAGAACCAGAAGTCAGTTAGGCAGCCGGGGTGGATGCCAACAGTATTGTTGGAATCCTTCTAAACCACAGGCGTGGTCAGCTAATAGCGGGCACAAGCCTGCCATCTGCTGACATTGGGTCACAGGAGTACCTTAGTGAATCTACTCCTGTGACCCAAAAGCAGACCTGGGCATTTTATAGCCCGCATCCAGCCCTTCGTATGTGTCTGTCTGGCCCACGGTCTGCACACCAACCGATCGCTGACCTGTGCTCATTTATGACAGTGGAATGCACTGGCCTCCAAGGCTGGCGCAGCCACTGCAAGTCATAGCCCAGCGTAGGTTGGCGATTGGTCTGTGCCCCCGACCACGTTCCTCTTCAGTTGTTAGTTGCTAGGACAGCTGGCGTCCTAGCAAGCAATGACGTCAGGAGTCCTCCTCCTCTGCAGTCATTGGTTGCTAGGATCGCTGGGTTGTCCTAGCAACCCATGATGTCAGGCGTCCTCCTCCTCTGCAGTCATTGGTTGCTAGGATCGCTGGGTTGTCCTAGCAACCAATGACATCAGGCGTCCTCCTCCTCTGCAGTCATTGGTTGCTAGGATCGCTGGGTGGTCCTAGCAACCAATGACGTCAGGCGTCCTCCTCCTCTGCAGTCATTGGTTGCTAGGATCGCTGGGTGGTCCATGCAACCAATGACGTCAGGCGTCCTCCTCCTCTGCAGTCATTGGTTGCTAGGATCGCTGGGTGGTCCTAGCAACCAATGACGTCAGGCGTCCTCCTCCTCTGCAGTCATCGGTTGCTAGGATTGCTGGGTTGTCACGCGCAACCAATGACGTCAGGCGTCCCCCTCCTCCGCAGTCATTGGTTGCTAGGATCGCTAGGTGGTCCTAGCAACCAATGACATCAGGCGTCCTCCTCCTCTGCAGTCATTGGTTGCTAGGATCGCTGGGTGGTCCTAGCAAACAATGACGTCAGGCGTCCTCCTCCTCTGCAGTCATTGGTTGCTAGGTGGTCCTAGCAACCAATGACGTCCGACATCCTCCTCCCCTGCAGTCATTGGTTGCTAGGACTGCTGAGCGGTTCTAACAACCACTGACAAATGTCTTCCCGCCCCCAGATATACCGACGTCTTCCTCCTACGTCCTCTCCTTCAGCTTCACCTCCCGCCTTTGCATTAAACAAATAACGGTATGTGCCACATACTGTACTTAGTAGGTCATACTAAAGGGGCATAAAGGGTACATTCACACCTTTGCAGTGCCATGCAATTAACAAACGGTACCGCTCAGTGCACTAATCATGCGTTACAGTGCGGCATGTGTGTTGTGTTGCATGCACTACTTTTTTCAAGCACACTGCAATGCACGGAATTCGCGTACTGCGCATTGCGGTGCAGTGGATCACATTGCAGCCAACAGGTGTGTTTGGGGTGCCATTTAAATGAATGGCAACGCACCTGCTGCACTGTAACACGCGGTTACCATGCGTTAATCAGCTCGGCCCTCCGCAGCGGTCCCAGTTTCTCATGCGGCCCCCCGGTTTTAGAATCTTTAAGCTTACTCTGTAATTGCTCTACTCAGAAATTAAAGATTTTCTGCCTCTTTTAAGAATGCTTCTACATGTTAAACTCTATTACCTTCCTGTCTGGAGTGGCAGCGGGTGTCACAGACATTTCCTGAAGGTCAGAATTCTTACAGCAGATGCCGCGAACGGTGGGTGTCCCAGGAGCCCAAAAAAAACCCCTCTGTGCAGGGTGAGGCTGAGAGTACCGGCATTGCACACTACGTGCAGTGCGCATACTGCATCATGGTGAAAAGTGGGTGTGGCTACATTGCAATGCGTATTGGGTGTGGCTTAAAGAGGTGTGGCTAACCTGCATGACAGCACAGCAGTAATGGGATGTTAATACAGGGGAGGGACAAGACCTGCGAGTGCTCCTAACTGCAGCTCAGAAATATAAAGTCTCCTGCCATGTTGTGTGCAGCACTGTGACTCCGGCTGGAATCCTGGGACTGGATGGACAAAAGTACAAATACTCTCGCAGGTCAGTCAGCGAACTTCTATATATCAGCCGCAGATTCAGCTGTTTAACATGTACTGCGTGTACACCTAATATCTATTTCATGTTTTACTGAGGGGTCCCAGTCCTGTGCATGTAAGCAATCAGTGTGGAGGGGGTCCCGCGTGTGAGCGATCTCAGGGGGGTGGAAACTACGCAGTGGTCCTGTGTGTGAGGGAAGAAATGGAGGGGCCCTGGGGTGAGGGATGGAATGGAGGGGTCCTGGGGTGAGGGAGGGGTCCTGGGGTGAGGGAGGGGTCCTGGGGTGAGGGAGGGAATGGAGGGGTCCTGGGTGTGGGGTGAGGGAGGGAATGGAGGGGTCCTGCGTG